CCGATCAGTGGTGAAGAGGATAAAACAAGACAATAAACATTTGAATACCCAAAAGCAAGTAGCTTTGAGATGGAGTGTCAGCTTGCTCCCTGTGGTGAGGGGTGGCACTTGTGATGAATATCACATTGGTAATTGACACTTTTCTCTTCTTTCACACAACTATTGAACCAACACGACTAAACAATGAGCAAGTGGCTCTAAGCCAACAACAAAGGGAGTGTCCACCAACCACACCCCATGTGGTGAGGGAGTGGCACACATGGTCAACATATTACATTAATATCTTGTTTTTTTCATTACTGTATTTACATTCAGTATGTAACTCCAATAAATATTTTTAAGTATATTTATTGGTGAAGTAACACTGAAAAAATAATGTAGAGGAGGTGGAATCACAGCACATAGGCAGAACTGGTTCACTTTAGAGACTCCAAACACAGCATCCCACTTGCATCCAAATGGCAAGATACTGTACATGTTCTTAGAAAGGCATGTGTGAGGGCAATGACCTATGTGCCTTGCTCACTACATTATCCACATGCATGAGACCTGTAGTCCTCTACTTTTTCAGTAGTCTTCATAGGGGTAGCTGAGGCACACAAGTATCTCACTTATTTATATACAGTAATAAGGTGTCCTGGGGGAGCAGGGTGATGGGGTCTCGAGGCCCAGGTATTGAGTGATAGGCTGTAATGTGAAAGTATAAACAGACTGATAGACTGGACAAACACTGTTCCTGGCCTATGATGGGAATATAGAAAAATACTTAACTTTTACGAATCAGCTTAGAATGTACAATGAATTGATATGAAGAATTGTGAGTCAGTGTGGAAGCTATAGATTCATGTGTGTATTGCACATTTAGGTTGAAAATATGAAGAATTATAGGAAGATATTTCTGCTTGTTGTAGCCTTTCCTATCACTTTTTACACATCCCTCACTTGATGCTCTCCAATTATAATTACGTATTAACTATTTTTGTACCCCCTTGATTTACACAAACAAAAATGGAAGGGGTAAAAATGATAGAAATAGAACAATTGTAAAATTCAGAAAATGTATAAACTTGGTAATTTTTATGTCCCAGCTATTGCTTGAGGCATAGAGTATTTTACTTGTCTGTCTGTCCATCTTTCTGTCGAACCATCTTTCCATCCATCCTGTCCAAAATTAGGGTTTCACTTTATGAAATCAACTTTTATAATTTTCCATGAGAGTCTGGAGCTTGGCTTAAACATTTTTGAGGGTTAG